TCCATAACTTCCTTATAAGAATCGTTTAGCAGATAAGAAAGGAATATTTGAGACTTGTGTCCTAAGACTATCTCTGATATACATCTCATTCTGAACGGCCACGGCCACTAAGTATCCTTCCCTTGTAAGTGCAACTTTGCAACTATTACTTAAACTAAAAAAAGCGGGTATAAAGTACTAAAAAAGCTATGAGTTCGCTGCATGAAAGAACAATTGCGATGCTGCCCAAAATCAGCATTGTGATAGAGTATCTATGGTTGATTTTTCCAACTAAACAATAAAAGCAAAATTCAGTTTGTCCATAAATCGAAGAAAAAAAAACTCAGAGATTGATGACGACTAAAAATTGACTATGAAGGTTTAAAAGTGCATTGGCATAATGGGAGCGCAAACTCAAAAAAAATTGCTAATCCATAAACTATTCTCGCGAACAAACCGATCCAACATCCTTGTATGGGCTCTTTCAAATGTTCGTACAAGCTGAGGCAATTGAGTGTCATCATAGAACGCGTGTCCCCATCCAAGGACCCGAGCTAGATCATTTCCTGTTCCAAGCGGTAAAATGCCCAATTGACACTAAATACTTCAAACCTGTTATCGAATTCAAAGCGATAATGATCACCGAATTTACCTTGTTATGTAATCCAAGACGATCGAACGCGCCCAGTACCCATCCTACAGTGCCATCGCCTCCACAAACCAGAACACGGAAGCCATCGAGAGAATCAAAGAAAGAAAGCCTGAACAAAGAGATACTTTGAGCATTTTCCACATAGAGCGGAAGGGGGTAACGTACGCAAAATCTGGTCCAGCGGTGATGATGTCAAAAACCTGTACTGGATTGAGCAATCGCTTGAATTTTCGGATCATACGCTGACCTTGATTGTCGCCAGATTTCGAATTTACCAAAACTAGAAGTGGTGAGCCGCCACCGCATTCTCCACCTGTAAAGCGTAAGTTTACATGGTAATCTCCATCGCAAAAACTAAAATTATTGATTTATTACTTCATTTGGAGTACCTCACTTTTTGAAACTGAGAAAAACAGTTTTAGAAGAAAAAGAGGTCCTTCACACGGTCACCTTTTTAGGAGGTATGAGTAAAC